GTTTTGAACCTCAACATGAAGATAGCATTACTCATTAAAACCATTCTGGTACTACAATCGTACATGTTTTACAAAATACTTATGAAAATTGTAGCCATTTTAGACGCTCAGTTTTGAGAGTATATGCTAGTCGATGTCAGTATTTTTGTAAAAATGGAAAAGATCGAATATCGACGATCGCCATAACAAAAATTTATGAATTACGGTTCGAATTGCTTAACTACCCACTATATTCACCAGATCCGATTCTCAATGATTTTTTTCTGTTTTCTAGACTCAAAGTTAGACTCACAAATTTTCATCAAACAAAAACTCTGAGCGTCCAAAATAGCTACAATTTTCACAGGTGCAAAACGTATAATTGTAGTACCAGAATGATTTTGATGAGTAATGTCATCTTCATGTTGAGGCTCAAAACTTTTCAAACGATCCTCGTACTATATGTAGGGGAAGATGGCCAATTTTAACACTTTTTCTTCTTTTCTTGTGCAAATCATATTTTGATATCTAAAAATTAAAAAAAATTGTCAAATATTCTTTAAAGTGTTGACACTAATATATTTTTTGTAGATTTAAATTATCATCTTTTGTACATCTTTTTTAACATTAGAAAAAAATTGAATTTTGGTCAAAAGTATAACACTTATGTTGTGCCTCTGACCAGGATATCGATTGTCTAATTTAGGTAAGATCGTTCATTTCTCACATTTTCTCACGTAAAAATATTCACCCGATTTTGTAACTGTCAAGTGAAAATGCGATATCACGATAGATTAAGACTATGGGGAAAACAATTTTGGCCAAGATTGTACCTTTACCTGTCCATTTGACAAGTTTTACATTAGTTAGGTTATTTGCTTGATAAACATATAAATAAAAATTATGAATGTAACAGACAAGCAAAAAAAATTATATTAGAATTTATGAGATTAAATCCAGATATTGGCCGAGGACGAATACGATCGAAGGGAGAAAATAAAAAAAAACAAGTAATAAGTTCTATAAAATTTGTTTTATTTATGTTACTTTAAATAATACAATAGACTAAAATAATTAATTTGCCATAATTTGATTTATCAATATTTGGGGAATAATAAAGTCACGATATCTGTCATGGTTTGACGCTTCGTGTGAGTTTCAAGCATTTATCTCTCTCATGTGTTCAAGTAGCAGTTATGATTCTCTCTTCAAACTCACCATTCGACAGGTCTTGTCGAGCAAACTTGTGAAATGGCTCGTATTTTTACCAATCGATACAAGGAGTATTGTACTTTTAACCAATGAAAGATATATATAAAGATAAGATATTCAACAAAAGTTTAATTTTATTTATATTTTTATGTTTTTAATGTTTTTTTACACCATATATAACTTTATATATAAAATATATAAAAATAAACTATCATACAAAAATGCAGTTTTCGATTGCACGAAACGATTGAACCTGACAAAAATAGTGTCGTGAAGCAAGATATTAAACGTCATAGTTGATCTGTGTCAGAAGAACACTTAGGATATTATTGTCGCTACTAAAACTCAATCAAACTATCGATTCTGCAGACTGATCGACAGCCAATTCTGACTATTGATTTATAATGGACCAATCATAATGAGGCTGACTGGTTCACTGTGATTGGTTCACTGTAGATTGGCCTGCAAAGTTGATGGGCTTTAGTAACGACATAACGAATATTTTAAGTGTTCTAATTTGAACAGTGATCTCGCTTTACGGGACTAGAATGACGCTTTTTTTCTGCCAGATTCATTCATTTCATTCAAAATCACATTTAATGCATAATTTTATTAATATCGGAGGTGAGATAGCTAAATAATTATCCGACATCGTATTGCTGGTTAAAAAATACACTATCAGTTAGATTAAAGATACAACGCTTGCTCAATTTCTATTTATTATTACTTTTATAAATTATAGATTAAGATTGACAGTATTAAGTTTTAAATAATTTTTTTTGAATATCTATTTAACATTTTAGGCAATTCCAACATAAGACAGAATACATATACAACAAATTTTATGAGATTAAAAAGCGAAATTACTCCATTGGAAAACTAAAAAATAATAAATGATTTTTTATAGGAGTATAATTTTCTTCATTATTATAATTATAAGTAAAACCTCTGGTGTGCTCATACAAATTACATATTTTTATTTTTATAAATATCCAATATTTTTTATAAATTCAAATGGTTAAAGATACAACCGGTCAAAGGAACAAAATGTTCCCTTACATGTATAGGATAACTCTGGCAAACGCCGCGCTGAGATTTACGCTGCAGAAGTCAGAAAAAAATAGAAGGAGTGGAAATAATTTTTCCACAACTATTCTGTTACTTTTTGTGCCTTTATGTTATATTAGTATTGAGTTATGATTTCAGCTTCTTATTATTAATATTAATAAAATAATTGTATTGAGTTGAATCGATTTGTCACTGTAATAAGTAGCGCCATTATAAATTATAATCTACATAAAATGATTACTGTAGGACGTGTAAAAGACTTAGTGGTTATTTCGTGATCCATGTGTAGAGAAATAATAAAGCATGTTGTATAGCAAAATACAAATGCTTTACTTTCGTATTCTTTATTTAGTTTATTTTTGTATATCTCACCTGTTTGGGATATACAACATTTTTAGCAGGTGGGATTTGCCTAAAGCATACAAAGTGTGCAGATTGAATTCAGTGCTCTAAATGCAATAAACGCATTACATGAAATATGTACCTTATGTCAACACTTGTCATATATACAGGAAGATTGTAATTATTAAATATTTATTACTTCATATACATATTTATCATTCTTATTCTTTAATAAAACTTTATAAACATTTTATAAGTTATTGTATTATTTTACGTCTTATTTATATGCATTATTTATATGCATTATTTGTAAATTTTTCATCAGCCGTACGTACTTCCTCTCCCTATAAGTAACCATATATACCCCACTCTTATGGAATATACGGCAAAAATGCAAAAGTTTCAAAAAGTTCATTTTTTAATATAAAAAATAAATATTTCGAATTTTTAATATTTCTTTCATAATAATAGACAGTACAAAGTTTTTATTGGTATAGTTTGTTTACTATAAACATAGTAAATAATATTTAATAAATTAAGTTTTTGATAGATACGGCGTATATATCGGAGTTATCCTATATACAGTATTTGTAATCATTTGAATTTTGCCCACCGAATTGGTTTTTCGGACTTATAAACGCAATTAAATTGTAGTAATATCACAAATTAAATTTGACAAGCAATTTTTATAATAATTTTAAATTAAATTTTAATAATTTGATGCTTAATTAGGTATCTTATTAGAAAGATGTTAATATGTTGAAAAACTGTAAATAAATTTATTACGAAAAATATTATCTCAGTCGTGAGTCGAACCCGGATCTCTTGTACCTATTCTGACAAGTAGAGTCTTTCATTTCCAAATTTAAAAGCGTAACTGTCAGAACATATCACATGATGTACAACCAACAACATCATATATAATTACTTCATCGCTGAAGATGGTTCGAAATGAGCTGAAACGTTCGATCGATATTGTATGTAAGAATTGAAATATATTATTGTGAACATCAAATGCACTGACTTCTGTACTATTATTGCTCTCAGTCGCCGGAATATTTCTGATTGATAATCCTTAATATTATGTCGCCTGAAATAAAGATATTTCCATACATACACTGATTATTACAAAAAATATTACTAAAATTTCGATAGTCTAAAGGTTTAGGATGCTTGTACGGAATAGGTACAAGAGATCCGGGTTTTACTCACGACTAAGGTAATATTTTTCGCAATAAATTTATTTATAGTTTTTCAACATATTAACATCTTTCTAATAGGATACTTGATTAAGCATCAAATTATTAAAAATTTCTGATTGATGATTGTTTTATTATCTAGAGAGCTCATTTTGTTAATTTTTTTAATTTGTATTAAGGATTAATCATTACCTGTGGAATAATCACAGAAATCGTGCTCAAAGTCATCAAGATCATACAGAATAGTTTTGTTATTGGTTTCTGATAGGGCCACTGGCCAGACATTGATGATAGCTTCTTAACAAGACCATAATAATGACTCCAGTTGGTGTTCATAGTTATGCGTTTTTAGTGATAATATTTCATTTCCAACTTTGCCTCGATAATTCATTTCAGACTTTTATTTCATCTGAGACTCCCTTGGTATGAGAAATAGTTTGAGATCCTGGACAGGTCATGCATAATGCAAATGTCATATGCCTACAATTGGATTTTCTCACAGCTAGCACGACATATTTCCGTGAATAAACGACGCGTAACTCGAACATATGGATGATATAGTAGTATTTATTTCTTTGACACTAAATATAACCTAGACAGAAGTGAAGTCCTTGATAGGTGTGTCACTTTAACATGTTAACAAGTTCCTTTCAAATGGAGAACTTTATCGATTACTAGAGTATTTTTTTCTCTTGCGTCAGTTCTGAAAGCAATCTTTGAAATCTATTACATGTTTCACAATGATACTTTTATCTTTAGTAGAATTTGACGTAGACAGGATGTCTTACAATTTTCTGTTTCCTTTTAAAAAAACGTATTCTTGAGTAATTTTGAGACGAAAATTCTAATATAAAAATGTCGAGTAATAGTTTTTGAATTATAATTGATTAAATATAGTTTGTAATTAAAAAAGTATTATGACTTCGATATTTTTCTATTTTAAAGTTAGCTTATAATTCAAAAAATTATATTGTAGTCTCGACATTTTCGTTTCAAAATTACATAAAAAATAAGTCCTTAAGAGGAAATGCGGTAATTGTGAGACATCTTGTATATAGACTGTAAGCAAGTATTACAAACATTACATTAGCAAATGGTTAACAAAAATTATATTATACTGTAAAATATTAGAGATACATACATATACAAATATATATAATATATATATATATATATATATATATCATCATTGTTGTCATCGTTCAATTGCTGGATAGGAAGTAATAAATTATTGAAATGACGCGAGTATCGTAAAGTACGACATCGAGGTTTGTAGAACCTTTAAGATAAAAGCACCAAATGTTATTAAAATTATTCGAAAGAATATTTGTGACAATTCTTGCTTTACCATAGTGAAGCTCTGTAGAGAGAAAATGTAAACTTTCCCGGCGCTTAAGAAACTCGGATAAAGACTTTTCATCATCACTAGCATGATTATCTTTTGTAATTTCATGGATGCTTTATACCAGAAGCTCTTATACCTGCGATATTTTTAAAATACACGAAATACAGGCAATAACAACATACTTGTATCTATAATTAGTCACATATATATTATTTAAATGAAATCGAAAATAATATCATCTTACATCTTATCACGTATCTGAAGGCTGTGATCTATCAGTCTTTGTCCTTCGAAACTAAGAAAAAACAAATGAATCAATTGGCCACCGATATAGAACACATACCTTGCTGCTTCTAAGATATCGCTTTTATCCTGTGTAATCTGTAGCACAAGAAATACGTACAATATTTGAACTCTTCTTCGTAGAGTGTCACTTTGAGTGTGTAATAGGTTTTAAAAATTGTAAAAATCATATAATCAGACGTACTTGCAGCAAAGTAATGCTCATTCCTATCGTTACTATCAATATCTGAATAGCGAAAGGCATGGTAAATGTATCTTCAAGAAGTTGCGCATATCTGTGACAAATGAGAATTTTCAATCGTGAAGAGTTATATAAATTTTTTAATTTATCTTGTGTGCATATTTACGTACGTCTATGCAAATATGCATGTTACATTTCGTATTATTTTTTATCATTCACATCGTACACTCACTCTAAAGCTTCGCGATGTTTACGTACGAGGAATGCAACTCTCTTGTAGTATATAGTAATATCATCAGGGTTTATCGATGATACAATTTCCATTTTATTTTTACAATCGTGAAACAAGTGTTCATAATGAAATCTGTAAATAATTCGCATAACATCAATACCATTTAATTTCAAGTGTCTCTTTTATTACAAGATTATATGCTATAGGGCAGGGAACGGAAAGTTATTTTTTAAAAGTAACAAGTTGCAGTTACTTGTTACCGAGTCAAAAAAGTAATAAGTTATCGTTACTGTAGTTACTGATTTTTAAAAGTAACTCGTTACAGTTACCGTTACTTTAAAAAACTACTCATTATTTCTTCGTTATTTTTTAAAAATCAGTCTAAATGCTAAAGTACAACCAGTCTAAAAAAATGTACTATTTTTTGCTTAAAATCATTTTGTTGATAAAAGCAAAATACAACAATCATACTACCTTTAATTTTTAATTTTTCCTTAAAAACATTATTTTGTAAAATTCTGAACCTGTAAAATATGCGGCAAATTGAGATGTCTGGACGAAATATCACGTAGAAGTCTAAAATAATTCCTGAAATAATGGTATATTTCTCAGCTGTCAAAAATCATTACAGGGGCGCTGCGGTAGTTGACAGCTATAAGTATTTCAGAAATTATTTTATTTACTTCTATATGACATATATCAGACATATCACAATTTGTTATATATTTTACGGTAAAACTTTCCCTTTACACAACCCGCCTCAAATGATCTTTAATCGATCTTGACCTTGGCTTTGAGCCATTTTTGATTATGTACCATTCATAAATAATTTTTTAATGAATAATTTTTTAATAATAATGAGTGAAGGAAAAGGTCAATGACCTTGATCTCAAGGAGGTCAAAATCATGAACAAAATTTTGGTGAATATATAATTTTCAAACAAATCGGTGGAATGAAGAGACATAAAACCGTGTAAGTGAGGTTAGAATAAGATTTTCAATTACACAAATTCTCGACTTTAAAAACAAATTCTCTGCTTTAAGAACATAAAGTCTTTGCTTCAAAAATACAAAGTCGTACGCCCTTTGGCAAGGGGGAGGAGTGAAATTTGCCTCGTGTGGAAAGTCGTGCCTATTGGACAAAGGGGTTTAAAAACAAATTCACTGCTTTAAAAATACAAATTTTCTGCTTTAAAAACACAAATTATTTTTTATATGATTTTTATGTTTAAAAAATTTTTTTTAAAGCAGAAAATTTGTGTTTTAAAGTGTCTTCTTGAGGGTAAAAGTTAAGATCAAGGTCAGTTGGAGGTTTAGGGGGTCATTTGGGGGAAGCTGTGTAAAAGAAAGGTTTTATTCATAATACCATTTTTTCATAATACTTTAAGATGTTTATCAACATAAATATATCATTAAATTATTTGTAAATTTAATTTGTTATATTACTATTTCAGTTTTAATTAAGATTGCGTTTTAATCCTTAGTACGCACCTTAGTTTTGGGCACTCTTACTACACGTTCGATCATTAATGTTCTGGATTAATTTTTATCACTTTTACAAATGCGTAAAAATGATTAAACAATTTTTACGTTACATATTTTGACATCATTAGAAAGTATTTATATAGTTGTATATTTATAACAAATTGTAAATAAATTATTATAACTAAGTATAGTTAACAAAATGAAAAAAATACACTTCATACAAAAATGTAAAACTCTGAAATAAAAATGTTTAAAGGAAAAATATGATTCAATATTTTAAAATTGACATTCCAAAAAAATAGTTCAAGTGTTGACAGTTCAAAAAAAAAATTTAATTATTGAATAACCTAAAGATGACGTTTTTTTAATATGCATAAATGGTTATAAATTGAAGATGTATTGCATTTTAAACAATGCATTTTATTATTGCTATTGTGTTAAAAAACTTATAATTTATTAGGAAAATGTTCTTTGTAACATTACAGATAACATAACATATAGTATTACTGACAACATTTAAGGATATCAAAAATCATGTATTAAGGGATAATATGTTATTCTAAGGTTAAATTCTTTTTTTAATAATTCGTGAAATATTTCCGCAATACAACAAAAATTAATTGAAAATAAAGAAAAAAAAATTTTTTAGTTACAAAAAATGTAACACTCTGTACACACGGGTCATTTGTGACCCAGAGATAAATTTCGGAGTTATGCCAATTAAAGGATACACATGAATTAAGGCCGGCAACGCACAAAACTTGTTCTCTAGATGCCAAACTTTTTTTAAGAATAGAAAAGAGATTGGTATTTGACCAGGTGCTTTTAATATTTCAAAGAAAAGTAAAGTGTAGAACATGAATAACCTAGAAGTGTGTATTAAGGATTAAGACAGAAAATTTCGTTGACGGGCAGTTTGAAAAATTTGTTGTATATACAATTCTAAAATATTATGTATGATTAAGCTCGGACTAAAATTTCTTTTTTTAAAAATAATAAGTTATCTTACATTTAATAATAAATAAACTAATTACAGAAGCGTATTAACATCTTAAGATATTAAAGCGGTTTTGAATCAAAATTATGAATACTATCTAAAGACTGAATAAACGAAAATTATGTCATAAATACATATATTAGTTCAAAATACAAAAAGTAATATAAAAGTAATCTAAAAGTAACTGTAAAATTCGTTTTTGTAGCAAAAAAAATGTAACTGTAACGGTAATGCAATTACATTATTTTTTTGTAACGGAAACGAATTTTACAGTTATCAATAAGTTATCAAAAAAAGTAACTTGTAACTGTAACTTCGTTACAAGTAATGAGTTACTTCTATTCTCTTATGGGATAGCTTTGTATGCTCGTGACATAAATGATTTCCTTACCCAGTTATAGCAAATTTGCTACAAACATGCTCAACATACGTTACAAACAAGCAATCGTGGGCAATTATACCGGCTATAACAATTTCCCAGGCCACAATGGCATGCCAGAATATTTGAAAAAAATGTTCTTGAATGTCTACGAAGTAGTATCCTCGATATGGTGGTAATATAGGACGGGATTCATTGAGAGGCAATATGATATCGAGAGTATGTGGTATAAGAGACATTGACATGAATACAATTATCGCTGCGAAGCAATATACTGCAACATACTGAATTAGTGAAATACTTGTGAAAAACAATTTATGTCATGTATGTGATATATATACATACACATATATATATATATATATATATATATATATATAATGCGAATATAGATCGATTACATTGATTTCAACTCACCAGAATATATCAAAGAGAATCGTCTACTATTCGCAGCATAGGACTTCATAATTTCGTATTCTTCATAAGTATTTAATTCTTTCCAATCGCAGAGCAAATGTTGAGTAAGATCTTTAATCTGATTAAGATCAATTCAATTAGAATCTTTCTTATGTTTATATAAGATTTATATCAAAAAGAACAATTCCGAGTGTCTATAATATATATTTCTCCTTTTCTCTTTATTAAATTTCTAATTAATGCCTAATTTTCTAATTCTTCAAAGTTGTTTTTTTCATAATTCATCTTTGATCATTTTTTGTCATAATTTTTAAACATCTTCATCTGTTTTATTCCAATATTAAGATTCTTTTAGTGAAGTGAAGGGAGCTCATTATGATAAATTAGTCATCACATAATATATTTATAATAATTTATGTCTCTGAAGAAGTCAAAAATGAGTCAAAACATGTAAGCGCATTAATAGAGTTTTGTGTTACATTTGTATATTATTTCGCGCAATGATTACCGCACTTGACTCCTATTTGCCCTTTTTCACGTAATTTCTTTTGAATAGTAAGGAGAATGAACTTGTGAATTAACTTATGTTTTTTAATTTGGACATATTTACATATTTAATGTTTCTAATACTTGATATGTATATTAAAAAACGTACTGTATGAATGTTAAATTGAAAAGTGTACACCTTCAATAGAGCCACAAATGATAATAAATACGCTGTCATCGCCTGCAGAGTGCAATGCAAGCTTTTCTTACACATAAATTGATATGCTATCTGTAAAAAAAAGTATCAATTATACGTAATTTTCCTGATAAATTTTTCTGTGACGATTAAAAAATTGATAAAAGTATAATGTATCATATCAGTATTGTCAGTTACCTGTGGTATTAGTATAGTTAACAAGATTATAGTTAACAAGGTAATACGAAATATTCTTGTTTTTGGCTTTAAATATGGCCACATACCAGTGAGAGATGATATTTTATAAACGATATCATAATATCGGCTGCATATAGTTTCCATAGCTTTCGGAGAAACTCACTTCGTACAGCTCGTAATAGTCGAGTTGTCCTCTTTCCTCTGCTACGATCAACGAATTGAGAGAATTGTTATTATTGGATGTAACTATTTCTCTCTCTCTCTCTCTCTCTCTCTCTCTCTCTCTCTCTCTCTCTCCCCCTCTGTGATAAAACTTTATTATACGTCAATTCCTACTAAATAATTTTTTGTATGTCGTATCTCTTAGTGATTGACACATATGTACATTTTATGGTTTGAGGTAACGTTTATTCCTTTGACACTAATTATAAGTTTTCTAACCGAGATATTGATTTTCCAAATTCCCTCCTTCCTAGTATAGAATACATCGATTACAGAAAAAAATAATACGATGGAATATTGATATCTGCCGTTATGTAAGGTACGTGTTCTTACATAACGCGAGTATAATCTCTCAAGAAAGAGACCAATGTCGCGCGTGATCTGCATTAAATAATATCGTTGTTCGAACAAAAAGTATTAATATCTTATTTAACTATTTTGACATCGATAACACAAATCAAACTTTGTTTCTCGAATATCTCACTTAAATAATGCAAAATAGCATATACATATATATATATATATAATTTTACATTCTTTTATGTTTATTACAAGTATTCTATTAAGAGGTTACGCCATGTTGAAGGCCTAAAAAATCGAATTTTTTGGCCTTAAATGATAGTTTATAGTCTTAAAAATATGGTTCTAATAGTTAAAATTCACATTTTTAAATCAAGTTTTAAGTCAGTTTAGTAAGGCATGTCTGTAGTGCCGACGAGCGGTTCGGAGTATCTAAACTCGTGAGATAAAAAGAATCATCCCAGAACGAGCAGAAAAGAAGAAGATGAGGCAAACATTGATGTAGAAGAACAGTTCTATGGCCCAGAAATTGCAGGCTAAAGGTAAATTTAATATTTTCGACTAAACATATATAATAAAATATCGTAAAGCAACTTTAAATGCGTTTTTCTCGAAACTACATTTTCAAAGTTGGAGTTGCACGAATATCAGAAATTATTCGTCTGATTTACTTAAAATTTACACAAAATCTTCTTTTTTGTATAATCTAATATCTCTCCACATACGTTTTGAATGTAAACCAATGTTTTGAATATAAACGCCTGTGTCTGGATCAACAAAATGTTATAAATGATTTACTATTTTATGTCGATATATTGAATCGATTTGACTATATGCTTTCCAACAATTGATGAATTATTGACCCAAGAGCGATGTATTTCTAGATGAGCTGTAATAATGTTTGTGCGTCACGGGATTTTGGTATGACAAACACTTTTTTTGTGTTGCGTATTATTCCGTCGAAAAGCCATTGTCCTTTTAACGAATCGTCCGCGATGATATTGTCGACGTCCAAACTTAGCCTCGTCGATTTCGACAATAATTTCTTCTCCGCCAATTTGATTTTAATTGTTTGTTAACTATATTGATTCATGAGATGAGAAGACAAATTGTTGTAATTGAATATTTATTAAAGTAGAGAATTTTTAAATAAGTATACAAGTTTTCTGTTTCAAAAATGCAAATATTTTACTTCAAAAACACAAATTTCCTACTTTGCAAACAATTGACATTGTTCCCCATTTATGTAGTTTCATCAAGTTATTAAATTGCATAAATTACCTCTCTGCAAAAGTTAGTCAATTGCTGTGATGTTATATTTAGTTCGTTTTCTAGGAATGTTTTCTAGGAATGTTTAAAGAGTATTTAACATTATATAATGATTAATCGACAAACTACATCAATATTTAAAGAATGATCCTAAAAATCGGTCGTTTTTAGGCCCTCGATTTTGGGACTGAACTATGCGCCAAATTTTATCTTATAATGAGACTTTAATTACAAAGAAGTTTCAAGTTGAACTAATAATTGTTTTCAGAGCTAAGAGAAGAGATGGAATCGGAGCGGATTATTCGAGAAATTTTTAGGGTTTTTTTTTTAGATATAGGTCGTGTTCCGATAGCTGTGTCGAAAATATTCTTTTTAGTTACAAGGTTGGTGTAGCGCTGTAACTAACATAGTTGATCTCTTACGGAACATAGCTATGTTAATTATAGCGCTACTAATCTTGTAACTAAAAAGAATATTTTCGACACAGCTATCGGAACACAACCACGATATTATACATATTATACGATATTATACATAAAAAAACATATAAAAAAGTTAGTCAATTATAAAACGTATAAAATTCAAATTTATCGATTACACTCTACGAGTCTCCAGAATGACTCCTGACTCCACGTTACCGATTGTTCTGTAATATCGATTTTTTTCATTACTGCGTGCGCATTCTTTTACTATAAATAGCACTATAAGGTTATGTTATAACGATAGTTATATCGATAAACACGATAATTACTAAATCGATAATGAAAATAAACGAAACTTGCGTTAAAAGTCATAGAATAGGATTGCTGATTGATCGTAATATTCGTAATTCATATTATTATTTTTCCAACAGATTCCAATTTTGGAAACTTTTTGAAATTTGATTTGCTTTTGCGAGTCGAAAAATTCATTTGGGAGAAAAGAATAAGTCCATGTTGCGGCCTTAAATAATTAAAAACATGAATATTTCTAATAAAAACTAATAAAAATTTGTGTAAGTGTAATCATTATTAATTATTAAAAATAATTTTGAAATATTTTTTAATAATATTATTATGAATGGAATATTGTACACAGTATTGAGAAGGTTACTTTATAAGTTATATTATAGAAAAATATTATAGTTATAATTGAAATTGTTGAATAATTATTGAATACAAAGTTATTTTTTTATATTATATTTTTATATTAAATTTTATATTATATTTTTGTTATTTGCTTTAATTTCGTATTATTTTCGTACTCCGTGTTTCTATAGTATACAAATATAAGATAATCTAAAAAATAATTTAAAGTAGTCTATAAAGTAACTTTGATTATGCATTATATTAGGTGTACAAATAAGTTTCCGTCGTTTTTTAATCAAAAATTAAGCATTTATTATGAAAGAACGATACATAATGTTTTATTGAAAGTATTGTCCAACGCTAACTACTTTTTCCCATCTTTCTGGTAGCATACGGATACAGCGTTAGAAGAACGCTTCATCGTTTTTCCTTGAGTGCTCGGCTCAATCTCATCAATTGTGTTCGGTAGAGAACCTCAGTAATGGTTTCGTTCTGTTTGAGCAACTCATAATACACGACACCAAGCTGATCCCACCAAATACACAACATGAATTTTTTTCCATGAATATTCGGCTTGGCTGTCGATGTTGAAGCATGGCCAGATGATCTCCATGATTTCCTCTTCTTTGGGTTATCGTAGTGGATTCATTTTTCATCACCAGTGACTACACGATGTAAAAAACCCTTTCGTTTATGCCTGACAAACAGCATTTCACATATGAAAAATTGGCGCTCAACGTTTCTCGGCTTCAGTTCATATGGAACCCAATTCCCTTGCTTTTGAATCATTCCCAATGATTTCAAACGATGTGAAATTGCTTGTTGAGTCGCTCCTAATGTAAGTGCAAGTTCTTTTTATGTTTCGCACGAATCTTCATTCAATAATGCTTCCAATTCCGCGTCTTCGTATACTTTCGGCCTTCCGTTCTTTGTCTTCGACGTCAAATTCACCGTTCTTAAATTTTTGAAATCATTCACGACAACTTCTCTCACTTAAGGCAGCCTCACCATATGCTTCTACAAACAATCGATGAGCCTCAGCTGCAGATTTCTTCAAATTAAAGAAGTAAATCAAAAGTTCCCGCAAATGACGCTTATTTGGCTCAAAACTCGGCATTTTCGCACAAAAAAAATATATGATGCTGATACAAAATCGCTAGTATTTCAAGGTTATGTTGTTGACAGATGTCCAACCTTATATAATGTTTTACATCAGACAATTTTAACCATAGCTTGCTAGTGGCACCGTCTTTTGTCAAACGGCGGAAACTTATTTGTATACCCAATATTTTTTATTTAATATTAACAAATTCTAAGCATTTACAAAATTCTAAGAGAAAATTGTCATCAGATTTAAAAATAACATCTTCCTTTAAAAGA